GATTGACGCCGTGGGAAAGGCAGACGTTGCTGCGCGAGGTAGTCCTCAATTTCTCTTGGCCTCTGACCAACTAGGGGACGAGGCGAATGAATAGAGAAACCGCGCAGTCCAAGTTGTCGGTATGGACATTCCCGGTAGATGTGACCGGCTTCACCGCAATGGAAGCAGAGGGGTCTTCTATCCGACGTACGCCAAATATCGGACTTCCGCGGAGGGGCACGGCGACCGTCGATGTCCAAACCAGCATGCGCAGATTGAATTGAAACTGGCGGCATCGTCTGGATTGGGACTGCAGGGCTTGAGACCGGCATGGAAGTGCGCAGAGCTTCGGCATATGTGCGGTTCCCAACATCAGTGGACGCAGGAGGTGGTTCTAGATTTGTAACCGTTGGTTGAGGGCGACGGCTGTGAAGCACCTGCTGGACCTCGTCCCGAATAATATTGGTGATGCTGCTTACCTCCGGCTGTCTCGCCCCGTGTAGTTTCGCGATTTCCTCGCGGACGACGGAGCGGACGATTTCGCGAATCCACTCAATGCTGTTGCTCCCGAAGCTGGCGGAAAATTCAGTAGGTGATGCAGAATTCACTTGCCGGTTGAGTAGGGCTGACCGCTGATGAAGTACCCTCTCCATCGTAGTGGCTTCGGTCAGGAATTCTGCTACACTCTTCGGAGGACTCCGCACTAGACCAGCAAAAAGCTGCTCCTTCACGCCTCGCATCAGATAGCGTAGCTTTTTTTCTTCTGGCATTGCCGGATCCGCTCGCCTGAAAAGCTGCGTCATGTCCTCCACGTACATGGTGACGGTCTCATTAGGCATCTGGATGCGTGAATGCAATGCACGTTCAGCACGATCGCGGCGGTCGGGGCTCCGGTAGGTCTCCAAGAGGCGATGCTGGAACTCGCGCCAGGATGTCAAGACATCACTTCTGTTCATGAACCACGTTCGGGCGCCGTCTTTCAAACACGCGTAGACGTTGCGGAGTTTGGCGGCTTCGTCCCAGTAGTTGATCGCTGCGACGTGTTCGAACTCGCTCAGCCAGTCGTCCACATCCTCAAACAGCTCTCCGTGAAAGGGACTAGGCATCAGCGGGTTCTGGACAGTGCAATAAATTGGTGCCGACGACGTAGGAGTTTCCATGACGCCTTGAGGCGAAGTCATAGTCGCTCTATGGATAAGCTGTGCCGGTGTCTCTGGTGGTAGGCCTCGTTGGCGGCGGCTTGTTCTGTGAACTGGCGTGTCCACGGGCACAGGGCTTGTGTTCCGGCTCCTGGATGGGCTCTTGTGCATGGGGTGCGTCGTCAGTTGTCGTACCCAGCAGCTCCACCAATCTTGTCACCAATCTTGTCTCACTCAAGGAAACCTTCCGCAGAACTGCTCGTCAAGCTAGGACAAAAAGAAAAAACTGCTCCAACCCAACCTCTTCGTCCTCTTCCACACGAAAACCACGCGAATTCATGCGGCATTAAAAAGCGGCTCAATCCCAACCTCTTCGTCCTCTTCCACACGAAAACCACGCGAATTCATGCGGCAATATGTATGTGTATAACAGTAGTAGTAAATTTTTCATGCTTCAACTTACCATAGAGAAACATTACATCTGATGGGCTTAAAAACTTGCACACGTTATAGAACTGCGTGAATTATAGTACCGGTGAAATTTAGTTCTGCAAGGTGAACTCACCGATGGCAGCATTTAGTAGCCGTCGGTGTCATGAGGAACCAAGTACGGCCAACAGGCAAAGGGCATCTGCAGACTGGAAGCTGCCAATGACAGCAATGAATGGCTGGCCAGGCGTGCACGTACATTGATAAAGTGTAAGAACTGGCCATGACCGGCTGTTGTCAAGGCTCTAGTGCCGTGCAAAACGGTGGCCAGACGAACTCGGAAACCTGTAGTTAGGCGATATTGGCCTACAACTTCATCCAAAGCAAGGCACCGGTTAAATCTTTGCTTTTTCCGGGGGCCGGAGGGAAGCTTGACGTTCACGGGCTCTCGCTGCCACATAGAACTCTCAAGTTGTTACCGAAGAATAGTCTAGGCGCGCTTCCAAAGTAACATGATCCACAACAGACTGTAGCATCTCGCAGCTTTGGTTGATCACATCACAGCGCTAGGTCTGGGGGCCGGAGGGAAGCTTGACGTTCACGGGCTCTCGCGGCCACATAGAACTCTCAAGTTGTTACCGAAGAACAGTCTAGGCGCGCTTCCAAAGTAACATGATCCACAACAGACTGTAGCATCTCGCAGCTTTGGTTGATCACATCACAGCGCTAGGTCTGGGGGCCGGAGGGAAGCTTGACGTTCACGGGCTCTCGCGGCCACATAGAACTCTCAAGTTGTTACCGAAGAACAGTCTAGGCGCGCTTCCAAAGTAACACGATCTACAACAGAATGTAGCATCTCGCAGTTTTGGTTGATCACATCACAGCGCTAGGACTATGGTTATCACAAAAAGGAGAAGTGACGACTTAACAACCAAAAGCGCCAAGCTGCCCCACCACAACTTCGCAGGGCAAAACAGTTATCAACGCTGTCTTTCAATTTTCGGTCACACGAGCACAGCTTGTTCGCAAGTCTTGGAACGTCAACACAGCACCACTGTTCACAACGAACATCGTTTCACTCCCGAACAGTACATTGCTCTCAAGTAAATAGAAGCGTACGGGCTAACTAGTGGCGAAGCAAGAACCGAGCGCGTAGTTCATACGTTTCCGTACGTACTTGGGGTCACTCAAGTATCGTGTCAAAACGCTGTCAATCCGAAATGTCGCACAGCACCCAACTGAGAGACGGGAAAGTCAAGCGAACGAACGGTTACCGGCACACAAACACAGATTGCAGGCTTCTCGAGTGCTAGTTGCCGTCGATACATCGACGCCGATCCCCGCTTGATAACCACACCGAGGCACAGGCTTCGCTGCGCTTCACCGTACACCATTGCACTGCCACAGCTTTCCGCACTGCTTACACGCACCGAAAGAGCTGCTGTAATCACAACACATCTGGTCAAATGCTGAAGTAACTCGTGCGAGAAGCGTTTGCTGAAAGTCGCACCGACCGATATGCTGTTTACGACGCCATGTTGTTTTCGACAACTGCGCAACGCATAAGACAGCTCTTAGGAAGTACTTGCACCATTTTCACTGCGTGAAAAAAATTTCTCTTAAGTGCGAGGGGGGTGATATGACGAACAGGACAGGCGTGCCAGATGAAAGAAGTGTTTTGGCAACGTCACGGAGTGAGCTGATGTAGAGGGTATTGCTTCACAACCAATCACAAGCTCTGTGCCTGTCGGCCAAGCCGTCCTCTGCTCGCGTTTGTCATCTGCTTTGATCAGAGCATGCGACAGGGGATTCGCCTTCGCAACGCTATGATTCTCAGGTCAAGTGGTCACTGCGTCGCACAAAATACATGTCAGTGGCTCGCTCTACCTTTGAATGATGTTCTTGCGCCAAGTTAAAAGGCTGGTAATTGACGCAGGGATGAATTCAGCCAAGGTTTGCTCTAGAATCGTGAGGGTTTGCATATTTTCGGTGTCATACAAAGTTACTAGGCTCATTTCGTTCCGATTGCTTGCCATATTATCACGGTCCATATCGGTGTCTGAACAGTGAAGGTGAAGATGCATGATTTGTTTGTAGTTCCATGTGTAATCACGCGCACCGCTAATACGCTTCGGTTTACAAATTACGCTTTGTTCCAGATCGTCCCAAAATGTATCGACAGCTGTATTTCAGAGATCGCAACCATTGGACGGTTAGAGCCAATGAAAGTACACTAGATCACTAACTTTATGAACCACTCACTGAAAACTTCCTTTCATTTTTATTTCCAATAGCGTGCAAAGAATGTGCTCCCATTAACCTCTTTGGTGGTAATTTCCACTAATGAGGCAAGGGTCTCGAGTCGCACTTTCAATTGGATGAGATGGGGCGCAACAAAACAACATAACAAATAAGGTTGATCCTATGCCATGCCGCGTTCGAATGCACCGACCATTGACGTATCACATTGGTTTTCATCCAACCACAAATCTTTACATGCGTAGTTTTATGCTATTAACGCCCAATCGAATTCTTCAATTACTGCGACTTCGATCTTATTGGACGATGGTGGTTGTCAACACCATTCAATGCGTACAAGGCAAACAACACGTGAAGCTCAAAGCACCGAAAGAAATAAAAACGCACCAGCAGTCATCAGGCAGCCCTTAATGGGCGTGAATTAACTCAAAACCAGCCAGGGCACCAAAGTATACCGCCGCGGCCGCAGGTTCTAAGTAGCCACATTATTCCTAAGAGTGGTCCGGACCACTCTTAGGATTTTCTCTCGGCCATGCTGTTTTTACGCACAATTTCGCTTCGCGAATCCACTTACGAGCATTTTTTGGTGACGTAAGCAAATATAGCAACTGCATCACCATCGCTGACATGTTCCCGGGCAGTCACAGTGCACTTTATTTGCAGCGGCCGATGTGACAACTATGGCCTCTTACGACGTTTTTTTGTTTCGTGAATCGACTTACGCAACAAAATTTCTCTTGCGCAAAAATGTTTTCGTAAGTGAGTTTTGTGAATCCGGCCCCTGGTGTATACGACCGGTTTCTGGCGTAGAAGACCAGTCTGGCGTATACGACCGGTTTCTGGCGCATATGACCGGTCCGGGGTATACGGCTGGTTTTTCATTGTTTCCCGCACTGGTGTGTTTTCGTTAGTGGAAACCGGGCTGGTGTGTTTTGGCATGATGGGTACGTGTAAATGTAGTCTTAGCCATAAGTGCATGCAGTTCCTCACTACTGTTTTAAGTTGCGTCTAGATGAAACTTCAATGAGGTACGCCTTTTGCACATCTAATGATGCAGAACGAAATAAAATTGGGTACATGCTTTATTTAGTAAAGGTAATGCGAGTATGCCACAATTAGTAATAATAAAAAACTTGCACCTTTAGTTTTAACGTGGCTGGAAAAGAACTTACGCTAAAACGATTCTTTTTGAAAGTAAAAAATCCATTTATTTTTACGCCCTCACCCCAATTCTGATGTTTTTTGAGAGAGCGACCGCCTAATATTTTTTGGGCTTCCTCTACTTCTTCTGCCATCTTTCGTCTGGATCTTCCGTAGTGCCTGAAAAAGGCTTTAAGAACAATTCATTATTTATTATAGAGCTCCGTTTTGGTATGATGGGTACAATGTGGTCGTAGCCATGTTTTCACGATATTCAACACTGCTGCTTGCAGTTACGTCTACGATGATACTAGTTTTTTATATAAATATATAAATTCATTTATATTACAATACGTGCCCTAAGAGCACAAGAACAGGCATGACATTGGTTGGGCGGTTGACAAGAGTACCTACAACCAATGAAGGAGTTCATTAACAAATAACTAAATACGAAATATAACACTAGATGCCCCCACAAACTGGAATTGCAGCTCAGAATCGTGGCACTCTAGTAGTAAAGCTGAAGAGTTTAGAAAACAAAATATTACATGACAAACATAATAAAAACTGTCACTGTGTGTAAAAAGAACACAGTATTAGCACTGTATATTACAAACATCAGATTACCGTGGAAAGTGCTGTTGCAGTCGATCTTGGCTGAAAGCACCATGTGGTTAAAACAAGAATAAATTGTGGCTGAACCCATTCTCTCCGTAATGCGGTATGAGTGTTTTATGAACACGCTACATTCGACATGTTTTTTGCGCGACTTTGTTCGCACCCTTACATAATGCACAGCCTCCCTCACTCACTTCTCAGTGCATCTATATACTTTGTCAGGGGTGCGCGGCTTTTGTGGAGCTTTCTTGCCACCTTCTGCCACAAACCCGTTCGTCAGGGTCCCGGTGAAGCTCCTTCAAGCTACGACCTCTGACGACCAGATTGCGACAGCAGCCCTTTTAACAAAATGGGAGTTCTTCTAGACTCCTATCAGTTGCTCATAGGTGGCCTTTTGAAGCGACACACCATTGGCCAGATGAAGCTGCAGGTGGATGTTAAAACATTTCTTTAGCACGCAGCATCCATTAATTTATAGAAATGAAAATAATTACCAGCAGAGTTTCAGAAACTAAAAACTGTACGTGAAGAGAAGCTTATACAAAGTACAAGCTGGAAAATAACATCAACACCACTCTATGTCCCTATATATAGTCATCTTTGCTAGTAGAACTTAGCCACAGGACACTTCTTCCAACAACCTCTGGCAAAGAAAGAAGTTCAGATTTATAGTAGACTCCATTTAAAACAAACTCAAAGGAGCCATGCTCATTTCTTTGTCTTATCAGGAATTCGTCTCATCAGAAGTGCCTCCAAACAAATTTTAACATACAAAGTCCACCGTAATATGTTGCTTGAAAATACTAAATGAATTATACTTATAATGGGGAGGAAAGAAACAAGAAAAAGCATTTATTTGGCTTAGCTTGATAAAAACTATGCTTTCGAGTAGACTCTGCAGACTAATCTTACTAGCACTTGAGTTCACATTTCATAATCATTATGCACATGAATATATTTTTACCACACTTTATTAACAAAACTGAATAAAACATTCCTACAACCAGAGTGCTATACTATTATACACAGGAATAGGCAATCAGCATCTGGACATTTCTGTGGTTTGGCTCTAAACATGGTGAAATTCTACACAGCGATAGGCTATGCAGTGCGTACAACAATCCTTATGCACCCAATATCTCACCTGTCCATCGCTGATCAATGAACAGTCCGCCACAGTAGTGGCAGCAGTTTCGGCAGGCACGTCCGGGAAGGCAGTGGCCATAGAGACAGATGCTGCAGGAGCTGTTGGCATCACAGGCAATTCAGGCACCGCAGGCACCGCCTCAGTGCATGATGAACCTGTTCCTCGTGGATAATCATTGGGTGCTTAACAATAGGACTGAGATTTCACCTCTATACAAGGAAATCTCGGTATCAGGGGGCCGTGGAAAATAATTCGTTATTTTGAAAGGTCGTTATAGTGAAAGCCCGGAAATTAACCTGGAATAATTAACCTGGAAACGACTTAACTTTACAACAGTAGCTCTCTGAACTTTCTTTTCACTACAAAAAACAAATGCACAATTGAACACTGAAAAATGAACGTTTACCTGAAGAACTCTGATTTTTTTACGCATACAGCACCAATTGTGAAAGCGGTGAGGCTAACCAAAAGACGCTTCGAAGTCTGTTACATTCAAAATTGCAGCAAACTGTCGTGCCTTCTTCTGAATCAGTGGGCCCGACACGGGCACATTCTGGGCTCTTAACATGTGAGTACCGCAGAGTTTATCGGCTGGAAGTCACCGAGTCGCAGTCGCTTACTTGAGGAGGCATGTTGTGACTGATCCAGGTACTTCATTATTTTGTTCTTATTTTTCAGGATCGTGGCAATATTAGAAAGCACCACTTCAACTTCTTTCTCCATAAAAGCCTGGTTTTGCCTTCCAGTTGCCGAAAAATATCCACTTTTTCGCTTTGCGATAACTGAGATGAACTTATAAGCAGAGGTGAACTCATTGTAGTAGCACTGCAGCGCGGACAACGACTTGCATTGTGGACACAAGAAAATATCACCAAAAAGAGATGAACACGACTGACAAGGCCTCCTAGAGCACATGCAGAAGGAAAACCTGAAGCGTCGTAGCTGTCATCACCTCCTCCAAAAAAAGAGGTAAAAAATTCATGTTTCGTTTTCTGCTCCTTCGCTGTATCAGGTTTTCCGCGCCCATGCTTCCTGCTCTGCAACTTCTACTCTGCCTCACTCACCTAAGCCGTCCTGTGTTACCCTCACCTCTGTGCATGTGAACCTGCAGTGTCGGCGTTTCAACAAAAAGAAAGGAAGTCATTCTTTCGTTTTTTTTTCTCTGCACTGTCGCGCATCAACAGAGAAGCAAGGCCCCCGTTCTCTGTGTCCTCTGATTGCATAGCTCTCCAGTGGTCGCGACGAATTTGAGCACGAGTTCATAGTACTGAGGCGTTATTAATATAACGCAGAACTAAATTACCGCTCATTATTTTGAAAAGTTAGGTATTCTAAAGTATGTATAGAGAAATAATTTTGCATTGAAACTACTAGCAGTCAGCACGCGATTTTTTAAAAGTTTGTTAATCTGGAAAGTTCAATAATGTGGTGTTCGTTCGACTAAGATTTCACTGTTATATACTACTACACTTACTATGACTCTAAATGCAACAGAATTAGGAAAATACTAATAATTTGGAACACCTGCATCTGTTACAAGTCAACCACAACCATCCCCTTGGCATGCCAATACTTAAGAGCAATAACATGCCAAGGTGGCTCAACGTTGTACCTATTGCTCACCGTTCTTCAGATGAGTGACGGCTAAGGTGGCACTCTAGGCAAAGCAGCTGTGCACGAAATGAAGTGTTGCTGCGCACGAAATGAACGCCTCAGTACTACCAGCTCAATATCTGAAATCCATTGCGACCACCGGAGTGGTATGATAGCAAACGGATGCTATGCTTTTCGGAAGATGTGTGATGGTGTGGAGAGAGACAAAAAAAAAACGAAAGGACGACTTTCTTTTCTTTCTTTTTTTAAACACTGACGTTGCATGTTTACAAGCGCAGAGACGAGAGGACAGGTCAACGCAGGAGGGCAAGGTCGGAGAAGCATAGTCGGAGTTGTGGAGCAAGAGGCATGGGCCTAGAAAGCGTGAGACAACGAGGAACTAGAAACGAAATGCGAGGATTTTCTTTTTAGCTTCTGCTTTTCTTTGGAAGAGGTGACGACAGCCACGACGCTTCAGGTTTTTCTTATTTTTTGTCACATTTATGTGCGCTCTAGGAGGCCTTGTCAGTCGTGTTCATTTTTTTTCAATGATTTTTTATCGCATCCGCAAAGCAAGTTGGCGTTCAAACTGCAGTTGTCCTACAGTGAGTTCATCTCTACTTGCGACAAAGAAGCCAAAGCAATTCTCGCTATGCGAGAAAGTGGATATTCTTCAGCAACTTGAAGGCAAAAGAACAGGCTGTTGTGGCCAAACAACTTGGAGTGGCGCGTTTTACAATTGCCAAGATCCTGAAAGATAAGAACAAAATAATGAAGAGCCAGGATTAGTCACATCTTGCCTCCTCAAGGAAGTAACTGCAGCTTGGTTACTTCCGGCCAATTGACTCTGCGGTTCTCACATGCTTCAAAGACCAGAACACGCCCGTGTTGGGTCCACTGATTCAGGAGAAGGCCCGACAACCACACAGATGTGGATGAGCTGGTGGCCTTCGCACTGCAAAGTTTTTGCTGCACACGTCCAAACAAATTCAGACTTCTTTAGGTAAACGTTGTAAAATAGTCGTTTTGGTTAGTGGAAAATAAGTATTTTGGGTTAATTTTCAGGCTTTCATTACAACGATCTTTCAAAATAACGAACCAATTACCGCAGCCCACTGAAGTTTGCTATACCAAGATTTCTCTGTATATATATATATATATATATATATATATATATATATATATTTATATATATATATATATATATATATATATATATATATTTATTTATTTATTTATAAACTGCCTATCTAAGCAATAAACCAGTGGTTGCTTGTTCACTGTCTGATGTCCAGTGCTCTTCTAACGTGATAGTGTTAAAGAGCTCGTGTTTCAGAAAACCCGCCGCCGGCGTCAGCCCCGCTGGTTGTGAGGGAAAAATAGTCTGTGCATCTGTGACCGAAAATTCAAGTTACCGACAAAGCCGCGAGAGGCCGCTACTTGTCAACGCGTGCGCGCACAATCACGCTGAAAAGGACGCGCATTCGAAGAAAACAGAAGTGCTTGATGTCACGAGGCACGGTATTTTTTTTTTTGCCCTGCCAACCCTCCCTGCTTAGCTTTCACTGCTTTTATTGTGACGAGAGAAGAGATTATGCAATTGCAGCATGCGACAAACCTTTGCAACTCCACTCTCACTGGACGAATTTTTAGTTGAATTTGTGAGCTCTTGTCCATTCATTCTATGGTTACTTGAAGTGTTTCATGGCCCCTATAACGGATTTTGTTCGAGTGGTGTGACGTTGAAAACGAGTCCACTTGGCGATAATAGCCCGCAATGGTTCAATCTACTGTGAGCGTTTTTGTGTGCGTGCGTGTGAATGTAACAGAATATATGATTAAGTATGCACTTAGTGGTTGAAGTGTGCACTAGGGGCCAGATTTCGCTATCGCGTTCAACTCTTAAAGGGGAAGCTTAAGAGTCCCCAATTTTCTTCACATCTTACTACATACATCATGGGCATGTAACCCAATTCCACACACCTCCAAGATCTACTGGTGCACATGTGTCCTCTTGAAGACTTGACGAGGGTGGTCTTCTTCGATCTTGGCTGACCAGATCCAGTGGCAGGCAGCGAGTAGCCTCCATGCCTGGGAAGATGTGGCTTAGCTCATAAGCAAGTATGCCAGACTTTCCACATTTCGAAAAGCAGCCTATTTGAACGGCATTTTCTAATTTTCCAAAGCGTATTTTTCTATACTCGTTTACAACTTAAAGATAAGAAGAAACTGTAGCTCCGCCTAGAGCTGCGATCCACTGCCGAACATCTACAGAAAAAGAATTGCAGTAAGGCTAGTTGAAAAAAAAAATAGACACCGCACCTTAAGCAAATGCAACAGGATAGAAAAGGAAAAAAGCAGGAGGAGATAACAGATTTGGTTCCACAAATAGCAAGTCGTTTTTTGTCAGATTCCTATCACACAAGTATGATTTGATGCCACACCTAGAATGATATTATCTGTTGATAATACAAACAATATTGAAATTTGTGCAGGTGTTGAAGCACTCCTAACACATATATCACAGGTGGCCCCAAGCTGCAGTGTCCTCCTAAGAGCACATTTTTAAAATGCAAACAACACCTCAAGATGAAGACAGCTCTGTACATGTCAGTGAAGCTCTGGTAAAGATGGTGAAAAAAGAAATCTTCCACATGAGGGACCTATGTACAATGCCATTTGCATTACTTTTGCTGCACTGGCACAAGGTTATTTCTACATCATTTTGCAAAATCCTTTATGCCCATGCTTTTCTCAAAAACGTATAACTACGGTAAATACTGCATCCTCTACATGGTGGTTAAATGTGGGAACAAGTATGTGTCAAAGTATGACATTAAAAATAAAATTTACGCCACCTGCTTGCGCAAGCTTGTCAGGCAGCTGCTCCTGCAGCTTTATGTTTAGCGGCCGGAGCTTGCCATTTTCTGCCTGGAGGCTGTGCACCTCCTGCTCAAAGTTCCGGCAGCTGTGGCACTGCTCCAGGTCTGCAAAGGCTTCCCTGCCACGATTAAATTTCTCTTGTTAAGCAACACCTGAAATTAGAGTTACCATTGAATCGAAAGTATTAGCCTTCAATATACCAGAAATACGACCACAACATATGTCTGCAAAAAATATTAGGGAGCATGACAAGAAAACACACAGGGGCATGAACTTATTCACACTACAATCGTGCCGCACCCGTTATATAACATATACTGAGTGGCTCACCAACAGACAATGCCGTTTTCAGCATGCAGAAATCTCATTAGGTGAGCGGCCTTTCTCCAACAATTACTGCAAGCATTGGTTCACATCTTATTTAACTGTGCGATATTAATGTGCAATTACGAACTCGGCATAGTATGAAGCTTAGCCTATAAATGCTCAAGGCTTTCCACTCACATGATCCTAAGCTTTATGGTACGCTGCATTTTAAGGAGTGGCATTACAATTATTTAAATATGATTTCACTCATTGCACTCATGAAAACATTACAATGCCATCTGCACAAAACAGCCTAAAACGTGTTTTATGTTTGATGTATATCGTTCCATATTGTAATCGAAAAAAGTAATGAGGTCATCATGCACGCTCACGTCGTAAACAATGTACGAGTTCTGGTGTGGTTACAACAAATGAGTACGAGATAGCAAACACTAGAAGCAACATCATGATGAAGCCTAACCGGGGGCTCACAAAAAGACTTGCCTGCTTACCAACAATAGAGACTTGCGTGATTACTGGTTATAGAGACTTAGCAGGGTCCGTGCTTGCATTCCCTGTATCTTTAACATAAGTTCCCACCAAAAACCTCAGTTTTCCACCATTCGAGACTAATACCCCTTCGCACGTAAGTTAAGTGAACTTCGAGCAAGTACACTTCGCCGCGAGTGTCATTTGTGCACTGTCACACGTGCTACGTGATGCCAACAGGCAAATAATAAGTGTACCACACTCGCCTCAATGGCGACAGGTGGCGCTATACCCCATAAAGTGGACATTAAGCAACGTGGAATACGTAGGAGCCCACGGGAATACACCAAATTATAGAGTACAAGGTGATATGGGATGGACAATGTTTGAGGGCAGGGAAGCTAGCAGCGAGATAAAATTTGAGAAGCCATTGAGAGAAATGGGGGAGGAGAGTTGGGCAAAGAAGGTTTTCAGCTACTTGTACATGAAGAGTGTCGATACACATTAGAAGAAGCGAACCTGAAAATTGACTGGTAAAAACTTAGAAAACAGCAGGGGGCCAAACCAAAAAGAATTATTGGTTAAGAAGAAGATGAAGGAAGCTGAGACCGACATGTGGAGAAATGGCATGATTAAGAAGTCCGCACTAGAGATTTATTGAACTTTTAAGCAGAAAATTGCCAAGGAAAACATCTATGATAATACTCGGGGTAGTTCTCTACTGTTTGAGGGCAGGACGGGAGTATTGCGAACCAAGACATATCGCGCCAAATACGAAGGAGTAGACACGGTATGCAGTGCGTGTGGAGAGGAAGAAGAAACTGCCGAACACTTGATAACGTTCTGTAAAGGGATTCCCCCTATAGTTTAGAATGATGGCGCAGAGTTCTTCAAAGCACTGGGGTTTAGGGACAGGAAGGGCAAAATAGACTTTCAGCGGGTAGAATTAACTAGAAGAAGGTTATCTGATTGGTGGCTAAAGTCAAGGAATGAGTGAAAATGCAAAGTACGAATCCTTCAGTGCCAAGTACGAATCCTCAACCTCATTATTTAGAGAGCAAAATAAATCTAGTTTTTGGTTCATTAAGTATTACGGCTTGGTGGCGCCAGCCATCACCCGATTTAAAGGGTACAGCCATATCCATCTATTCATTCATTCATGAACAGGAGGATAGCCACCGTAGTATCTCAGTTGGTAGAGCATCATGCGCTTTATTCAAAGCTCGCAGATGTGGCTCCTGCCCATAGGAAGTTATCTTTATGAGCACTTTTCGTTCTTTACAATAGCGTTACAGTTCTATTAACATACCCTATAACATCCCAATGGGAGACCAGCGCTGAAAAGATGGCGTGCTGAAGAAGAGCACCTGGCCGAAAGTCGCGACATAACTCAGCTGCTTGCGCCCAGATGACCGGCCACAGTGTAGCAATCTGCTGCCGCAGAGTGCTACACTGCACAGATACTACAGAAGTAGGCCCGTGCACCGCTGCCGGGCTTCATTTTGGAACGAACAGCTCGAAAAGCCATTGCGCCAGTAATACAGCAATACTGCACTGTAGTTTATTTAAATAAGTTCGTCGAAAAGCTACTCTTGCATAAAGAGCAGCAAAAAACGCAGAGAAGCCCTGCAAACCAGACTGTGGATATGCATACAGTATCATAGGGACAGTGCTGTGCTGTGATGACAGCTCTCTTGTCCTTATTTTCAAGTTGCAAGCTGGGTTTTGGGCTGATGCTAGTGCTGGCTGACATGCCCCCAATGGTAAGTCCATGCTTCGACGATACCACACTGCCAACATCTGCAGTAAAACAAAACAAAAAGCTGAGTAATAGGCAGCTGCGTCAATTTTTTTTCTGGCACCGTTTGTGCTCTTTGTCAGCGGTATGTATGCACAGGGACACCGTTCAAGCAAACCACCGTGGCAGCATAGCACTTGTAGTGTCGCGCTGCTATTCTTGAGGGCATGGGATAGGTTAGCGATCATGGTGGCTGCACTTCGATGGGGGTGAAATATAAAAAGAACACCGGTGAACCAAGATATACGTGCGTATTGGAGAACCCCAAGTAGTCACAATCTTGATACGCACACTACAGTGTACCTTAAAATGATATCTTGTTTGGCCCATGAAAGCCTAACAATTATTGACGAGGCTGACACAGGCAAGCGAAAAAACAGAAACTGTGCGTTAGGAAAACTAAACAATGAGTAAAGATCGAAGACATTTGAAGACATTTGACTGAAAGTTGAAGGCGTAAATTTTGATGTTACTTAGCCATGGCAGCTAGCGAAAAAAACGCTTACTCCGTTGGCTTAGTGCAGAAAGCTAAGCTTTGTGTAGCCCGCTGCTTTGTTCGTTACAAGAAACCTGTCTTTTGCACAAATTAAGTTAAACAGAGGCATCTCAGCATCGAGTGTTCACCGCGACAGCGTATTTTATAACAGCACAGAGGCGTAGGTGAACGTGGCCCCATACAAGCCTTGTGGACAAGGCACCTTTCCTTTACACAGAACTGTTCACAAAAAAGACTACCTGCCTATCGTATCATTCACTTCAGGGGGATGAACGCATGCAAACTTTGTTAGTCATGAAGTGCACGACTGAATGCTTAGCAGGCCAGATGAAAAAATTTTTACATATGCCGTATGTTGCATAATCAACTCATTTTATTTCTGGCAAAACGCCTTTTAAACTCGACTGTTTGACCTTGGTTTCCACTGGTGTCTGCCTTCACTATCCAACATATAGAGCAAACACGCCCCATTTGGTTTAGAAACAAGCCCAACAGCACTAGACGGGAGAGCAAGAGCAGAATTTTGCTCACCTGACCGCTTGGATGCAACGCCGCCTCATCTCTCTACGTCCTCCCTTTTCTGTATACGTCCTCCCTGTTTTTATGTATTGTTGAACTTGATTGAATACGCAGCAGCACTACCAGTGACCTTCAGTTTTGCTTTGGTGATGCGCGCACGCACTGCCTCTACCAGCCGCAACTCTCATCTGCGGGAGCAGCTGAGAAGAGTGCGCTCTCTGCCAGGGTGGTCGAGGAAACTCAGTGCTGGTTCCCTATAGACGGTTTTCTACCGCGGCGAACGGGCGCTGCCACGTTTCAACACATGATCTAATGGCCTTCTTTCCACTTCTTCACCGTCGCTGATGGCCGGCCGATTCTCCGCAGCCGCTCCCGGAATGAAAGCCAGCAAAGCAGCCCGCGCTGCCCGTATCTTTTTTTTTTCCTTTTTGTTCTCTTAAGCATTGCGTTGTCGCTCTCTGGCTGACAAATATTAGATGTCTTTTTTCCTCCTTCAAGAATCACTATGAACACCATTTTTTTGCCGTAGGCTGCAGGCCACACACCACATCGTGGCCGCGCATTCGAAGAGAAGTCTGCGACATCTGGGCGCTGGCCCCATCTATTGTATTTACTTCATTGTAAGACGACCACAATTTTAAACCGAGGGTAGCTTTGTTGCGTGCAGAAAAAAAACAGAAGAAAAAACAAACACAGTAGTATGGTATTTGGTCGTAACGACCGAATAGTAAATTTTACGTTGCAAACATCTGAAAAACAGAAAAGCAAAATAAAAATACATTACATTCGAGTAAAAACGGTAATTTGGCGCATAAAAACTAGCTGCAAAAATTGGTCTATACTTTCCTCATCTGTCTGTCAGTTGTGGTTATTATTCTGTCTAAAAATGAGAACAATCACTTACATTTTTCTATGGAATTTTAGTGTCACTCACTGCAAAGCACCCTTACCGGTGTGGGTGTTCCCTGACCTCTTGTCGCTGCGACGAAGTGTGTAGCCTCGGATCCAGTGGCTTGTACAGAAATATGCTGTTGCCTAAAGTGGTGTTCATACTACCTTTAAACCATTGTCTTTGATATAAGGATTCCTGCTATGTAATAAAACAAGTCCAAATACCACAAAAAAAGACCTTCGCTACTCTCCACCTTAGGCAGTTTGTGGCCACGTATGTTAGGAGGATACGGCAGCACATGCTCTGCAATGGCTGCGTCCCAGTCGCGCTGTTTATTTCCAGGCACACTTTCACATGTGTAGGCGAGTTTTTCTCTACTAATTTACAATTGCGTGTGTCACTGGTGCTACTTGGTCTGATGATAAGACAATGGCGCAAAAATAAATATTTCTTGCGCTAGAAATCTGCCTATTGCCACTTCCATCATGCGTGTAAGTACACTCGCTCTAAATGCACGTTGCCAGGTGTGACAGTGGCATTACCTTCTTCCTGATTGCAAAGACCTACCTGTTTATGATGCAGAGTGTACAAGCACAAGACCGAGGGATGTCATGACACCACAAACTTTGACGAACTGAAGAAACACACGGTGACCGAAAAGAGAGAGGCCACGAAACCCTGTCGGTGGGTGCACATACAGTAGGCGCAACCATCAATCTGGCGCACATGGTGGTCTACGAGAGGGAGAGATATTTAGACACTTCTCTTTTTCCTTTTGCATGTGAATCGATGGGTACTCACGTGTGTACTAACACTATTATTATTATGCCCCAGGCCTAAACCATTTAAGAAGTTTCCTTATTCTTGTTAGGATTTACATGGTGGAGATTATAAGTGCACGCCCAAATTTGATGAACGGCGATTTTGTACCATGAACAGAATGAAGGAACGCGCTTAATCTTTAAAGCCTGGCATATTGATAATAATATTCTTTACGCATGCTTAAACGAACCATTGATTCACCCGCATAAAAAGAAATAAAGTGTCTAAGCAGCTACCATAACGCACCACCAGTGCCAGACTGATACGTGTGCTAACTACACAGGCATGAAGCATGCACACAAAGATTTCTATGCCTCCTGTCAAGAACCAAGTGTTTATCATTTGTTAGTCAACATTTGGTGTTTCTTGACGTCCCTTGTGTCAATGCTTGCATGCCCTGTATATTTAACATGAATCCCCCTCACAGGCTCAGTTTTTGATCATTCGGGACTTACCTCATTGCTGATTATGGAGACCTACCTGCCTGCCAACTGTGTACAGCACTGGCAGGAAACCGGACAGTGTTCTAAAGCCACATGCTACTCACGTTAAGGTTAAACCCTGAAGTCGAATTTATCTTGCAACTGCTCGGACAGGGATGAAAAGGGTCTGCGAACAAACATTGATCAGAGCAATGCAACTGCAAGCATGTGCAAACTAGCCCGCCAGCAAACACTATAAAATAAACCACCCTGCCTTTTCCCTTGCTTTCTGTCACTTTTTGACATGAACAGTGATGCAGCTGAAAAAACAAAAATCATACACCTCAAGATTTCACAGTTATTATGTTAACAGACCAACTAAAAGCTATAGTACCAAGACCGTACTTTATAGTGGACAAATATCTGTCTCAGTGCTCCAACATGCATACATAGAATTCGTATGCCTTCAGAACATAGTGTTCACTGATCTAGACACCAATCAGTAAAGCGAAAATAATGCAACTTGCATGTTGCATATACACACAGCTATAGAGCACCCATGTTGTGATGTCACTGCTCTCTTTATTGCTTCTGAGCCTGCCACCTTACAAATTATACGCCAAGCAAAAATGTTTCAGCACGGCCAACACTGCAGCTGCTCCAAACCTCACATTGATAATTACTTCAGTTGGATGCTGACAGGAACAAAATCACAGCGATTGGAGAGATTCACAAAGTGAACTGAGCTTTCTGAACCACTTTTATACTGTTCCAGACTCCGTCGCCAATTACCATACAAGAGAAACAGCTTAGTTTCACAATCACAGAAACAAGCCACTCGCAGCGTTCAACACAGCAGATGAAACAGCAGCACTGATATGGTAGATCAACCAGCAGTTCAGCTCATATTCGTATTCAGTCAGCATTGTTTTTCACGAACAGGCACAGCACATCCTGGTGCCCCCTCATCTCTCCAAATTCTCTCAAATAGAAACTGCCTAGAGTCGTAACATTCAAGCATGTAATAAATATTCAAAGGTAAACATTCAGCACAAATCTGCCTGCACAAAATCATTAGAAAACTGGCTAGCCAAGTTTTGTTTTCAGTTCTAAAAGCTGTCCTTACGTTTCTAGACCTATTCCGTCTCTTCAGAAGACTGTCTGGCCGGCTGGCTCCAAAGCTAGCAGTTTTGCTTTACTCAATGTCTCCCTTTCCACTGTTGTTCCTCCCGCCACTTTTGTGAAAGTGTTGCCTACTTCGTTGGCCTCGATTGCCGTGGACACACACACTTCGCAGGGTTTATGTTTCCAGGTTTCGTGTGACTATTCCAAGATTCAAAGGACTGCTTTATGGTGCGCCCACTTTCCAATTCAATAACTTAGTGTACGACGACTTACGACAAGCTGAGCCTCTAAAGCATTCCACACATAATACCTATGACTAGCTTAGTAAAGAATTTTGCTACAAGGCAGATTAACTCATTCTGAATTAATTTGAATTTTTGTAACCAGCAGCAAAACAGGAAGCGATATGTACCTAATACACTTTAAAAACAAACAAAATTTTTCTGACCTCTTTTGTTGAACTCTGTGGGCCTTTTTTGTTTTTCTTGGTGTTACGCACACGCCGTGAACTGAGGTAGCTGTTCATTTCTTCCTAAGATTCTCAATAGAGAATTAAGGATTCCACATTTATCAAGAAGTCTCTAAACAATAATACTTGATGCACTTGCACGACATTACATGAACACGTCCTGACAGGCACTGAGAACTATGCTGTTTTGATAAGAATGGTCACAAAGACTTCAAGAAATTCAGTTTTCTTTGCAGCATACTTTTGCTGTTAGGGCTGTTCAGACAGGCCAGACCGAACATTTCAGTAAAGTGATTTCAGTAAAGACAGCTACACTGGTGTTAGCATTGTAAAAGTGCAAGACCACAAAGAGTTATTAGGGTGCACCAATAATACAACTGAGATATCCCAAGTGGTAAATTTACAGCTGCACATTTGTTCTGTACTTTTCATTTTATTAGGTTTAAACTAATCACTACACTAGCTTGTCATGTCCATAAGAAGCCAACGCGCACAACAGATTGTCACAACGCAAGTAGTAATTTTGTTCGATATCCCAGTTTAAAATTTGATTTAGTAGAGCTGAATGGAACACGGCTGCACTATTACCGTGTTCGCTATGAGGCTGTTTACCCGTTATTACATTTGTTAGGCTTACACAGAAATCTTTTTTTTTTCTGGGGGAGATCCAATTTTTCCTTGTGCATGTTCGTGCACAAGCTTGCATGTGCGCATACAAACGCAAAATGTAACTTTTCAATAACGTTTACTAAATTTGAAATCTAAAATTTACAGTTGTATACATTAGCGTCCTCGGCATACGGACAAGCAGCTTTCGAGTTCGGTCATGGACGCTATTCCGAGGAGCGACCGCAGCCCGAGCCGCACACAGGCTGCCGAAACGAAACTCTTCGCGTGCTTTTTTACCTTTTTGATCTACTCCATCGGCGACATGAGTTACTTTCCGGCAACGCACGAAGAAATATCATGTTCACTTCTTTCTATTCTATGCTTCTTTTTTCAGGCATAACACCAGATGGTAGATAGCAAGTCGGGCGTAGGTAATACAGACGCACCTGTGAAGCGGCTACAGAACAAGTGCATCGGCTCCGAAACGCCATTTTTCCTGTCCGCATTCTTACAATCTGTTACCTTTGGTGTGATAAACAGGGGTGCGACTGTGCAACGTCCAGAAACTCAACAGAAAACTAGGAAAGCTCGCCACGCTAGCCATAATACGCTTATGTGTCAGTGGCCATGTTGCATTTTGGCGAGTTGCTATAGCGGCGAGAGATGGCACTAGGGGCAGACTAGATATTTCCTTTATTTACGTGCTTCATTACGAGTCTTTACTAATATAAAAGTCAATAATTTTTTCGTTACTAAAACTTACTTTATAATGACGCAAAAATGTTTTCTCAATATAAACAATCTCATCAACGTTATTTATTTATTTATTTATTTATTTATTGTACCCTCAGGGCCCGAGGGCATTACAGAGG